AACTAGCTCCTTCCTTGACACACAGGCATGAGAAAGGGAAGTAATTGGCATATAAAGAAAATGAGGTGGTGGAGGATGGCTGCCTTTGTGAAGGACGGTGCCCTTGGTATAGTATGCAAGGGAGTTTCTACTCTGAGGCAGACCTAGTGGACAAAAGCATTTGCCCTGAAAAAGTTGAGCCAGACCAGAAGACAGCTGAACTTTTCCTAGATAAATCCTGGTGACCAGATAAGCTTGTGCACAGTCCAGCTAGCCATGTATATCGATTTCATAGACATTAACGGCTGGAAGGGATCTCATGAGATCATCGAGTCCAGTCCCAGTTCCCCACCCCCACCCCCATAGTCAGGAATTCAGCTGGGGTCAAGGGATCCCAGCAAGAAATACATACACATGTTTTTTGAAAAAGTCCAAAGTAGATGCTTGTGCCACGTCTGGGGGGCGTTTGTTCAAGACCCTGGATACTCACACTGTAAAGAACATTTTTCTTATGTCTAGTCTAAATCAGCCTTTTCTGGAGTTTATGGCCGTTAGACCTTGTTAACCCTTGGGGAGCTCTGGTGAACAGCTGTTCTCCCAGGTCCTGATGCCCCCCTCTTATATAACTGTAGGCTGCCACCAAGTCCCCCCTGAGCCTCCTCTTCTCCAGACTGAAGAGTCCTGAGTCCCAAGTCCCTCAGCCTCTCCTCATACAGCCTGCCCTCCAGGCCTTGGATCATATGATGGGCTCTCCTCTGAACTCTCTCAAGCTTCTCCACATCCCTCCTGAAGTGGGGGGCCCAATACTGGATGCAGTCCTCCATCTGTGGACTCACCAGGGCCAAGTAAAGTGGAAGGATGACTTATGTGATTTTCTTTGAGATGCACTGGTGGATGCACACCAGAGTTTAGTTTGCTGTGCCAGCCACAGCATCACATTGGTGACTCATATTTATCTTGTGGTCAATCAAGACTCCCAAGTCCCTTTTGGTCATGGTGCTAGCAAGTGTAGCACTGCAGAGCCTGTAAGTGTATTGAAGGTTCTTCCTACCAAGATGCAGCACTTTACACTTCTCTAGGCCATCAGGTTTTGGTCAGGCCACCTTAAGAGCATGTCCAAATCAGCCTGTATCCCCAGCCTGTTCTGCCGTGTAACCGCCCTCCCCCAATGTGTGTGTGTGTGTGTGTGTGTGTGTGTGTGTGCACGCGTGTGCGTGTGTGTGTGTGTTTTGCTATGGAAACCGGCTGACTGTTAGTAATCCCACAGACACTCCCAGCTGGAGGCATCTGGGAGAACAAGGACCCACCTAAGCCATTTGGATGTGGGGTTTGAGCTGGTGTAGATCCCACCCTCTATTAATGGTTGTTCGTAAAGTGGTACAGTGGATGCCAGGCATGTTTCATTTGATTGACTTGCACATGCATTTAATATGAACAATAGTAGCAGGAATAAAAAGTAACACTTTTTTTAAAAGTAGTGGATCATTAGCCCAACTTTTGTTAAAATAAAAAATTCAGAACATTGACATTTTCTGTTCCCACCTGACCACTTTAGTAGCTGACCAGATGATGATATGAGGAAATGTGGAACCATTTAAAGAGATTTTCCTGTTGGTCTTACTTTCAGATTTTGAAGGAAAATGATTTTGACAAAACTCATAAAATTCCCACTAGTGTACTGTGGAGATGCACTAAGGGTCTGCAGGTCAAATGACTGCAACAGAAAACCCATCACAGTGGGTAATGGAGTGGCTAGGCCACCGATGAAAAATCTTCCTCTGTTGGGAACAATGCTCTTATGCCTGTATTTGGTACTTCTTGAGATCAGACCCTTAGCTATGTGAACCATTTGACATGATGTAAAAATTAATCTGTCATAGCAGTAGGATCAACAAAGTAGCACTAGGGCACACTAGATTAATAATTTAGATTTAATATTTTTTCCACAGTAGTAAAAGTTGAAGTGGCAGTTTCTCTATTATTAACCAGTCATTTTGTCATATATATGTATCTCCATTGCATTGGACATGAGTACATCCATAAAAATACAATTTTTTAGAAATATGCAATCTAGTATTGGGAATAAGTTGTTCTTTCCTCATGGCTAAATCTCCCCTCCTCCCTCCCTTCACCCCCTAACCTTCTTTACTGTTACTAGGCAATATTGGGCAGCCAACTAGCAGTTTAACTGGGTCATATAAGTTCCACTGGTATAAACACCTCTGTAGCTAAAACTGCTACTTTTTAAACTGGGGTAAATCAGTGTGAGACACTTTAAAATATATTCAGTAGTTCTTGTCAGATAGCCTTGAAGAATAGAGAAAAATACAATGAAAGTTGGATATTAAATTTTCAGTCACTCACCAAACTTTTCTCTGTTGTGCAGTAATTAGCATATTCCACTTCCCAGATACATTCTGCTGATTTTGACATGCTGCAACATTCACTAAATCAGACTATTTCCAGTTAGCTTTTGATCAGGACCTATATTATTAACTCTGAATTTGACATAGGAAAACATGCATATGCACACTATTTCACCCCCAAAATTGTTTACTGTAATCAGTTGCATCTATTTTTATAATAAAAACATAACTTTGGGGGAAATGACTATGGTTTGCTTTCTTGTATTTGCTGACCATTAAACTATTTTCCTGTCATCCCCAAATATTAACTGTGCAGACATCTAGTTTCCTGAAGGCAATTCAAAAATTGACATTTTATACTGTATCTGATCCTTTTGTCTATCAAACTGCTGTAAATAGCTTGGATAAAAGTACTCTATAAACTAGCTGAAATGTGTCTTTGCATGCAGAACTTCTCATGTTCACAATGTATATACTTATGTACTGTGAGCTTTTACGATCTTTGCATCTATACAAGTATAGAAGATCTTTCTTTAAAGAATGATACCTTGTCAAAAGATTGAGATTAGATGGCATGAGAAAGAGCTGAAAGAGGATTAGTATACACCCCTTCACCCCGCAGCTCTTTGGCCAACTAGGCTCTTTCCAAATTTTCATTAAAATCCTTCCTTCTCATTTCTGCGTCATTCTGAATTGCTTTGTTCAGAAAATGATTTATTGCATTCATTACTCCAGATATTAGGCCAAGTTTACCCAGACCTATCTATTCCCTGCACACTGAGGTATCCAGCTCCATATTAGATTCTATCCTTCAATGGAAAGTAGTTCCATTAAAGTCAGTGAATTTGGTGGGATTTAGATCAGGGCAACAGAGCCATATCTTAAGGCTCTTACTCAAGGTCAGATTCTGCTGTGTAAATGTAAAATAATTCCACTGGCTTCACTGGAATGGTTCCAGACTTATACAGTGCTCATATGTCACTTGGGCAAACTCCAGCTGACTTCAGTGTGAGTTTACCTGAATAAGGAATGAGTAAAAGCTGAGCAAGGACTTTAGAATTTAGCCCTTAGAGATTTTAGGGCATTGTGTTCTTAAATTTATTTGCCTCTTCTGATCCATGTGCTATCTAGCTACTCAGCACAATATTGGCAAATAGTGCTTCACTGAAAACGCCTAATCTTGATTCTTTTCAGTGTACTTTCTTCATCTTACCTTTGCTTTCTAATATCTTGGAATGAATTGAGAACAGCCACAGCATATTTCTCAGCAAATTCAGTGCTAGAGTCCTACTGGTCTTATTTTTGTCCCTAACCAAAGGGCAAAAATTGCAACAGACAAGGCTACAAAGTATGCTGTTACACCACTGTAATTAGTATCCTTGGTAGTTTTGTTTGTTTGTTTGTTTTGACTTTTCAACTTTGTATGCCACAGGAGATTGAGCTGCACCAATTAGAATTTCTATTTATTTTATCCAGTCATACAGAAACATGCTTAAAGTTAATTTGCTGAGACCTTACCACTTCATGATCTCAGGCAGCTTCCCATCTGTTGTGCCTATCAATATTAATCTACCTTGTGCCGAGAATTCAAGTCCCATGCTAATATTGAGCTGGTCTTCTAGAATAATAGTGCAGAATTATAAATAACTCCAAACCTTTTAGGCCGTTTGTAGATGAAACAAGGGGCATATGTGCACAACACTTTAAAGCAGGTTAAATGCTTTTGCACCACTTTAATGGTGCTGGTGTTTGCACATGTCGGCAGCATATTGTGCAGTAACTCCGGCTGCTGTAGCAAATTTGGCGGTGTAATGCACCTTAAATGACTCAGGGTGCAGCAAACTAAAATTCTGAGGAGGAGTTTTAGTTTGCTGCCCTACAGCCACAGAGCGAAACACCAGGCTCCATACAGCGCAGGGGCTCAGGGGCTCTGCAAGAAGCCCATGCAGGCAGCCTGGCAGCAGCCTGGGAAGGCAGGCTGTGCCCAAGAAAAAAAAATGGTGAGCCAGATCTTTTTTTCCCCCTGGAGCCTGCCTGCCTGCCTGAGCTGTGCGGGGGCCTGGTGCTTCCTTCTGCAGCTGCATTGCCCCCTGGGACCACCCAAGATGGGTGCCTGCAGGTGGGTGCCACCTGGGGGGGGGGTGCTGTTGCTGCAGAGAGAAGTACCAGCCCCCCCTGCAGCCCACGGACTGCTCCATCCACCGGCAGCTCACCCTCCCCTCCCCGCTGTCAGAGAGGCAGGTAAGTGCACGGATGTGTGTGCAATACAGGGGTTTACTTCACCCCAAATTGAAGTGGTGTTTTTAAAAACCCACCGCTTCAATATAGGGCCCCCGTTTCAGCTACACATGCCTTTAGATTAGTAACACTGTTATAACTTGTAGTATTTGTGACTACTATTATACATGGTACATACAGTTCCTATACATATAAAGATAATGGCCTCCTATTTTAGAGCTAGCATAAAATATATAATTTACAGCCAATAAAAAATGATAACGTAATATTTGCAAAATGACAATAAGAAGTCCCCAATTTTAGAAAAAACTGACTCTAGACTTACAAATAAATGTTCTGAATTTAACCCATTCTAAGGAAACTAAAGGAGCTAACACATTACATCTAATACGTCTGAAAATTCTTCCTTTTGTTTAGTTCCATCTAGTCTGAGTAAATGAAGAAAGTGACCATGAAATCACAACATCCACCATCTGCTTTTGCCATCCATGAGAAGTACATTACCAGGTAACATTTTAATAAGAGTGTGCAATGTGCTACTTAACTTTTTCTAGATGTAATCAATAAAATTAGATGCTTTGAAATAAAAATAAGTGCCTAATTTGTATGCTGCCCCTATCAGAATTCTCAGTGCAGTCAATCATAGTTTCATGCCTGTTGGCCTTGAAGAACTATGTATTTACCTTTCTGTATAGAGGGATTTTGGTACATAAACAGGGCAATATTTTCAAAGGTAGACAGATACATTTAATTTGAGCCTGAGAACTGGATGATGAGCACCGTTGAAATCCAGGCTGGACTATCCATGATGCCTGACTTCAAGGGGGGGTTTCAGTTTTGTTTTTGAAAAGGTGGATCCTACACCTTTTCCTAAATGCTTTTCCTAAATGTCAGCAGCCTGAAGATGGGATGTCAAGGCCCACTCCTAAAAAGCATGCCGAGGCCCACTCCCCCCTTAGTGAGGTGAATGAAATGAGCTGGTGGTATACCCTCTGTCCATCGTGACGTTGGGGACCCCTTCCGGGAATGAGGACCCCTCTCAGGGACCCTCTTGGGGAGGAGGAGGAGGAGGGATGAAGAGAAAAGATGAAGTGGAGAGACTTCTTTGTTACTCTCAAGTCTCTGCTTTTGTATTCTCCTTCCCTCTTGATGACTCCTGATGACTCTCGATCCCTGGCTATCACTGATTGGTTTCTCTGTGTAGCTGTCATACATCCACGTAACTCATCACATGCACACATACTAATTTGGTCTTTCTGGGCCTTCTCCTAATTGGTTCTGTTCCCCCAAAAACAAGACTCAGCCCCCCCTGCTCTGGGGTCTTGTTAGTTGGTGCCACCTTATCTCATGTTATGGAACAGTATGGTACATGCCCCCAGTTTCCACAACAGTTTTTCTCCCAGTTATGTGTGCGTGTGTGTGTGTGTGTATGTGTATGTGTGTGTGTGTGTGTATGGCAGGGCACTGGCATGATATATATATAACCCAATTCCCAAAAAGCAAACCTTTAAATACCATTTTCTAAGCCAACAGCCACCAGCACCTTGCACAGTGAGCATGGCCCCAGGGCATGCCTATGGTGCCTCCTCGGGCTGAGCCATCATCCCTGCCTCAGGGCTGGGCAATACTTTGCACAGCCCTAGAGCCACGGGCGGGAAGGGGAAGGATGCAGCATGCCTGGAAGACACCTCCCACTGGGACCAGACCCCCCACTCCCTGCAGGGTAAGTGGGAGGGCCCGGCCCAGCCTCCTCTAGTAGCGTAGAACAGCCTGCCAGGTCTGGGCTGCAGACCCACCACATGGCTGGGAGTCTTGGTGCTGCAGTGGGAAGGCCCCACCTCACCCCTCTACAGGGCATGGCACCTCCCCTTCCCATAGTGGCAGGATTGGCAGCACCAGCCCCAGCCTCTGCCCATGGGGGTGAGAGGAAGCCACAGCTCCACAGCGGGGCATCACTTTATAGTGGCTCAGCCATGCCCACTGCCCCCTCCCTGCAGCTCACGCCCTGTCAGCAACCTGAGATCTGTTCAGTGCTGGGAGTACGATGAAGAGGTAAGGGACTAGGGCTGTTACTGCCAGAGGTCACTAAACTGTGTATGGCCTATTGGTTAACCATTTAACCAGTATAACTGGAAGAGATTAAATGGATAATATTTTAAATTATATTTACACCCCTACCTTCAGGGAGAGATGGCAGGGAAGGCAGGGGCAGGAGAGGGGGTATGGATGACACTGACAGAGCTGGGGAGTGAGGGGCTTGGGAGTGAAGGGCAATGGCATGGGAAGGGGCAGGGCACTGGCACTGTAAGGCTACTCAGCAACACAAAGCAGTGGGGTGGGGGGAGCAGCTGCAGTTGGCCCCACATCCTGGTGCAGGGGGGAGCTGCTGTTGGGAGGGAGAGGGTAGGCAGTAGGAAGGGGTTTGGGTTTGGGAGTGATGGGCACTGCCAGGGGTGGGAGAGCTGTGGCTTGGGAGTGAGGGGCACCAGTATATCAGGGTGGCTCAGTGCCACAGAGCAGCAGGGGGAACAGCCACAGCTGGCCCCGCATCCTGGTGAGTTAAGTCAACTTCCAGTTTGTGGAAATACTAAGAAAAGTATTCTGGGAGTTACTTTAGACAGCAGAGGTCAGATTGTTTGCCCTAGTCAGTAGGGTATGTCATAAAAAGCAGCGAGGAGGAGTTGGACCCATGCACCTTTTGTTTTAACGGTTTTCAAAGAATCAAGCAGAATGGAATAGGAGAACACACAGGTGCCTAAATCCACTTTGGCATCTGATGGATGGAGTGGATTAGGCTGTTAGGGAATTAACTTCATGGTTTCCATAAATTTTAATGACAGACTTCAGGTCAAACTCCATAGTCAGCTTCATATATTCCAACTAGCCTGGGTCTGTGTATACATATTTATTTCTATATATTATTAACATGGAAAGAAAATTAAATTCACTTAAGTCCTTTCTTAGCAAAATGATTTTCCAAGGGCATCTGAAGATTAAGTGGAGACCATCTCAAAGTAGTTCCCACAGGCCATGACATGAAGAGCGTTTTCTACATGTGTGGCTCACACTGGCCCTCAGGATTAGGCCAGAGCTATCATACTTCATTTGCCTTCCACAAAATATTGTAACACCAACAAAAAGGAACCAGTTGTGAGCCCTTCCATCTGGAAAACACCTGTTGACTCACAGGTGCCAGTGGGTTGGATTATATTAGGAAGTAAAAAGACATAATTACAAGCTTCCGAAGCATGAAAAGATCTTTATTCATGAATATCAGGAATATCAAGAACTCGGACACTATGTATTGATGTTCACACATTATGCTCTGACATTATGGAAGTGTGGCTTTTACATGCTAAAATATGCACTAAACTTTGACTGTGGTATTTTGGAAGGACTGTACTTTCTCACTGTGAGATCTATCTACCCCTACCTGTGTAGCAGTATGACGGGGATATGTTTGCTTATGTGCTTATTCTACATCCTCGATGCTTTTGAGACTTTATTTTTGGTTTTTGTCCTGGGGTGACCCTAACATCACCCTCATTATTCATTCCTGGTGTACTGGAGACACAGGAGCAACAACAAGCAGATACACTTCAGCAGAAGCATAAGTCTTCAGCAGCCTGCTACTATGATTAAAGGCAAGGAAGAATTAAAACTAAAGTCAACTTCCAGTTTGTGGGAATACTAAGAAAAGTATTCTGGGAGTTACTTTAGACAACAGAGGTCAGATTGTTTTCCCTAGTCAGTAGGGTTCTGATCTAGAGCACATTGAAATGAATGGAAAGAATCCCAGAATTCAATGGATCAGGCTCTAATACCTTAATTTTATATGATAAAGGGCATACTACCAAAAAAGGGATTAGCTTTAGCAGTTGTTTGGCCCTCCATCCTGCTTAGAAGGGTATAATATGATGTTCTTCTCTTCAATATCTTTCAAGCTGTGTTGCACAATGCTTTATATATGCAGAGATGGACAGAGCTAGATAGCAGAGGAAAACAGAAACTGGAATACATACGAGGAGAAAATATATACATTGAAATGCGATTGGAAAACAGCTGAAAGATTAGTGGTGTGTATAGTTACAGAGAAGATGACACTTGTTCTAGCAGCAGTATGACTATATGAGGGAACCGGCAGGAGAAGAGCAAGTTCTTACGGCTTTTGCAACCTTACTATCCATTGTTTGTCCATGCAGTTAAAGGAAAAGCCTGTAAATTGTATACTTAGCCCCTGGTGTACACAACTGTTTGTTCCTATCACTGTTATTCTTATCTTCCCTTCTCCCCTCTCTGCTTAGTGGCACCTACTTGTTGTAGTTTGGGTTAAACTATAAACTCTCCAAGGCAGGGATTGTCCTTTGATTTCATGTCTATACAGCACCCAGAACAATGGGTTCACATTTTGGTCAGGGCTACTGGCCTCATCTACATGAGATGCTTACTACTCAGTAGCTTGTTATTACTTCACAGTAGCATCACCAGGCATGAACTGCGATGCGATGGAACTGCTTAGTAATAATGAGCTACCGCGCGGTAAGCATCAGTAGGCAACCATGCCGGGACGCTACTGCTCAATAATGCCAGTTACTGCACAGTAGTTTAGTAATTGGTTATGCAATTACTAAATGACTGCGCAGTTGTTACTGTTCAGTCAGCATCTCAGGTAGACTCGGCCACTGTGTGGTAAATAATCATGAGACTAATCATCACATTCCTAAAAATATTTCCTCCCAGTTTACATGCTTCCACAAATGAGCCTGCAGTGCCTCCCCCACTGATCCTGGTCCTGGGCTAGAGTACCACTTTTCAGAGTGAACAAATCCAGTGATGATGTGCTAGTAACTTATCCGTGCATATGTATTCTTGGATTTACGTATGTCATGTATATGATTTATGCCTCCCTCTAATTATTGGTGAGGAAAAAGGGGAAGGCATCTTGAGACACTGTTCAAAATCCAGCCTTTTATCTTTTACATCAGATTTCTCTGTTTATTGAGCACCACATTGTGTTCAAGATCCCATAACTCCCATTAATAGCAATTACTGTTGTACCTACAAGCAGATGATCATACATTGGCCGTAAGTCTCTCTTAGATCAAGGGTAAACTGTGTGCTTGTTGTAATATTTGACCCCGATCTGTTATTCTGTATCAACCTACATGTGATCTAAATGCCACTTTTCCCAAATACTGCTATGAAGACATTATGATAAATTTCTATTTCATCTTTATGTCAAAATCAATAAATTAATTGATCATTAATCAATTAATCATCTCTCTATGACTAATGGTGCATAGAGTGTTTTCAATATGCTTGTACGTAGATTGTTTATGAGGCAAGTTTATGAATATGATATGTTTACTTTGCCCACTAGTTTTTTTTATTAATATTTATTGTGCTTGAAAGATTAGGTTCCTTGGCAGTGACTCACATGGGTTCACACTCTTTTTGTTTTGAATGGGCTGGATGAGACTTCCTGGACTGACATCACAGATGCCACA